CACATACGCATCGGCGTGGCGAGGTGTTTAGGTATATCGTACTATAATTATTATAAGGAGCCCCCCACAAAACCCTATTCTAATTATTAAGGCCCCTACAGTAACCTGTGCGTTTCTTTCAGAAAACTCTGCACCCCCCGAGGTCGAAGCTCTTCGGGGGCGCGGGCGGTGGCCTCTTCTCTCTGAACAGCTCCTTCTCGCCAGCTCCAGGCTAGATGGATAAGAATCCCTACAATCTTTTGAACAATATTATTCTTACTTATAATAATGGTATATAATAATATTGTTACTTGTAGTAATGGTATAGAATAACAATATTACTTGTAATCATGGTATAGAAAAATATTGTTACTTGTATTAGTGGTATAGAACAATGTTATTACTTGTATTAATGGTATAGTAACTAGTAACAACAATACTGTTAGTATCAATAATCAAAATACATAGAGGATCACGTGACCAACCAGGCCTCCAACCAAGACAAATGCGCCGGCGCAGGCGACACAGACGCCGGCGCAGGCGCAGCAAAGCCAGTCGACAAGGCTCTGCCAGAAAGCTCCACGCCCCTAAACCCCACCCATAGGCTCCATAGTAGTTCCTTTTTGTGGCTTATGTTTAGGATCCTATAAGGTACCCCAAACAGGAACTACTGTGGAGCCCATGGGTAGACGCTAAACCCAAAACCCTAAAGCGGTCATGAAAACGTCTCCCAGCTCGGGACCGCCAGGTCGATGGTGATGACGATGACGAGGTCGACGAGAACGAGTTTGTCCAAGAAGAAGAGGCATCAATCAGCTAAAGGGTGTAGGGCTTAGGGTACCTTGCCTATTATCAGTTAGATGGTACCTTGTTGGGGTTTAGGGTTTAGGGTTGGCCGATGTAGGTGTACGGAAACACCCAGCCCCCACCCTAGGATAGACATCTATCTCAAGATCTCACCTCCCACCCTAGGATCACACCTGTCTTGAGAGCCCCAATCCTAGGACAATCCACCCCAAGATCCCAACCTAAGCTTCCCTCTCAGGAATAATATTTGCATGTATCTAGGTGCCATACGACTAACTAGGCAAGGGGGGTTTTGTAGAATTTGGTTCAGGGTTTGGGGTTAAGGGTTGTAACTCTAATGTAATCTTAACATATAACTGCTTATGTAATATATTCACATTATAACCATGGGATGAAGGAAAATTCAAGCGGATGTCGGTGAAATAGTGTCTCAGGACTTTGAGTGTGACTTGGTTCATTTTGTCTTCATCAACCTTGGTTTCTTCCGACAGTTTACTCGAGATATTTGGAAAGTCTGCCTGCAGTTGTTTCATCCTTGCTTCTTTGGTTCTGAGTCTAGACTCCTGCGTGTGTTGGCGAGTTTTTCCTGCTAAGTGGGCTTCGTATTTTCTTGAAGAACTCTTCAACCACAACCTCGGCAATTAAATGCACCATTCTGTGCTGTTTTCTCTCGCCACTTTCTATTGATCTCATCCTGTTCTTTTCACCGTAGTGTCTGCTATGTTCACGACACCAATTGCATGTTGTAGCCCCGTCAAAGTTGTTCACGTGCTTTACGAGCTTACAGTCCTTAGGTCTAAATACAATGGTGATATCTCTTTAAGTGTGTTCTAAAGAAATGCAGTTCTAAAGGAATCGATGCTGTCATTGATTCTTGACAGACTTATCTAAGCATTCAGGACAAGTCAAGATGTACTTAACGTAACTGTAGGAATGTTTACTGACGCAGTATGTTCGCTTAAAACAACTGATATCTTTGACTTTGACTTGCTTACACCGATAACTCTTCCGAGTAATGGTGGTATCGGGCTCCCTATAAGCATCAAAATCAAGTAATATCTTATTTGCTTTCATTGGCGTGGTATTATTAGCTTATAAATCTTTTCATAATGTGAGATTTTGAAAGGGTGTGGCATTCCCTTAAGATTTAGCGAAACTAATGATGAATTAATATCATTCTAATGGTGTGCTTATGAGTCTGTTCCTCACATGGGAGCAATGGGACCTGATGTTCTTTTGATGTTTGGGCAGGGGAAACACACTGCCAACAAAAACGAGGTTTTTAATTCCATCATATTCAAACTATTCTTTGAAAGAGTTACAACCTTGTCCATGCTTTCAAAATCCTCCTCCACTTTTTCTACCCTCTCTTCTGGGGTAGGCTTTCTTGATCCCCACCCAGTGGTCACCGTATCAACACCTTCATGAGTTAGTTTTAAATATGTCGCTTTCATCGGGGGTGATTCCTCTCCCCATCATCCAACTACTCCTATCTTCAATACTTGTGTTACCTTCGCTGTTTTTCTTAGTTTTTTTATGAAAAGCTTTCTTTCTACATTCACAAGGTAAACAGTTCATCCCAACAGTGTTTAAGTGGAAGCCACCTTGGTTTGATTCTGTACGATTGTCACTCATTAACCTTTCTTGGATTTCTTTAAATACTCAAGAACTGCCTTAAGCAATTCTAAAGAAGACGTGCAACGCCTTTTGAGCTTGGTATCTTGTATTGTGCCTTTCTCAGTTTATTCAATCTCCAATATCGTTTCGAAATACTTGTGCATGATATGAAACAAATTTTCTCCGATGAACTAGTGAGTGAAGAAATACCCAAAGTAGAACCAATAGACATACCCGAATATAAATATAAAGCCAGCAAGTCTGATGTGATTCCGAAGCTTCGGTGCGGATGTTCTGCGAGGCTTCTTCAACAGGTGGTAAAACAGTGTTGGCACAGAACTTAATATTGAAAATCTGCAGAGGATCTTTGGAGGGAGTATACATCTTTCACCCATGATGAAGGTAGACACCGAAAAGAACAGGTTTGTTCTGAGGAATACGTTCCAGTGGCACCAAAGAAGATCATAGATAATTGATTTTCAGAAGAAGAAGAATAAACAAAAAGATCTGAGCATTCTGTCAGTGGTGGACGATTTCGCCGACGATCGGAAGCTGGTACGACACTCAAGCTTGTTACACGGGGTTGTTCACGAGAGGTCGTCATAATGTCATCTCGTGCATTTATCTACGCAGAAGTATAATGCATTGGCTCCGTAATTGCCAGTGCTTTATTCATCTTCAGACTCAAGATTATGAATGAAGTCATCGCATTTTTGAAACAGAATTCCACATTGATGGACAAAAGCACCCTATGCGAAATGTACCAGAAAGCGGTGTAATTTGCTCCTTGTTTCTTCTTACTTGTACATCAACACCCATGCTAAAGATGTTAGTAATATGTTCTTCATTGACTTTGAACAACGCTTTGAAATAGGAGATAGTGAAAAGAATAAGTGCTATTTATAATGGAAAAAACAATTTGATTAATCAAGTGTTTATTCAGCTTGGTGTTCGGTACCTCCATCTCGTAAAGGATTCGCAACTTCCGATCTGTCTATTTTACCTCTAGAAATGACAATGTATTCAATCCTATCAAAGTTTCCAGCTAAGCTTGAAAGGTTTGACCCTTTTGGAAAGCAAAAATCTTAGGAAGGAAAGAATGCGAATGTCGTATTCCAAGAGAAGCTAGGGCTACAACTACAACAACGCAAGTCAGCAAATCTAGAACAAGGACATTTTTCTTATTTGTCAATGCTTCTACTTTTTGCTTCTTCTGCCTGTATTTTACCTAACAAGTTTTTGAACGCTCTTAAGATGATATGAGTTTCCGAAATGTCTTTGCTGTTCTTTTGGTGGATTAATTACATCACACTTTATGCTCGTTTTCAAAATCACTCATATACAATAGGCTATAATAGGTTATATTATATTAATGCAAACAAGTAGAACAACCGACCCAACTACTGGGACTATAGCACTTCAGGTAAACGACACTAACGGCGTTACATTGATAAACAAACCTGTTACAAATGCTTTAGACTTTTGATAGCATTGGTAATATCCTTGATGAGCCGGGTGTTATTAGTTGGGGTAAGTTTAAGTTACAGAATAGGTAAAATTAGAGAAGAGCGTCTGCTCTCTGAAAAAATACGGGCGTCCGCATTTATCAGTTGTTCCCGTGACAATTCTTAATCGTTGTCAATACTTGCTTGGTTGAAATTGGAAATGCCACCTACCGTTAAAACTATGAAAAGTTATACTGTCTCCCTATTCCGACCGTCGCTGTGCTTGCGCTTCCCAGTCTTAAACGATAATCGCGCCCTGTGTCGTGTAGTACCATTTCTGTGCCATTTGCTGGATTACTTGGGTTCATACATCTAAAATTTCGGTTTCTGAATTCAATCTCTCCCCATGTGTCTCTCATCCTCAAATTATAACTGGCATCTTCCGAGTCTCTAAACATATCAATATTGTCGTTGTTAGAAGCGAAATAATAGTTAATTATCAGTGTCTCTAACTGTAAAAAAGGGCGTTATCTACTGTATTCTGTACTATTAAGCCACCGCTTTGGCACTGCTGTTGTACTGCTCATTTTCTAACCTGCGTTGTTGTTAGTTAAATCTGTTTGTTTTGTTGCGTCGTCACTTGTGTTATTGCAAAATTTCTTATCACCTTGCAAAGTTATATAGCTTGAAGGATTCTGGAATGGCTGAGATCTCAAGGTAGCTGTTATCCTACTAGGGTGGGAGGTGAGATGTTGAGATAGATTTCTATCCTGGGGTGGGCTGGGTGTTGCCATACACCTAAATAGGCACGGTATCATCTAACTCTATCCACCACACGTTGCACATCCCGGAATGTGCAAGAAGAAGCTGGAAGGTACTAGCTGTGAAGGGCTGGACGCCTTCAATGACACTTGAGGCCAAGAAGATGTCGTCCTGCCTGGATCAGGACCTCTCAGGTGCTGTAAGAGTATGTTCAGCTTCGTGGAAGGTCCGTGACGACCTTGAAACCGGAGAAGAGCTGGAGGAGTCGGATGGGCCTCAAGTAGTCCTGGACTGGTTTTGCCGGCTGATCTGATGTGGCGAGGAAGAGCTATACTGCCAGCGCTCCAAACTGTACCGGTTCCGCGACGCTGAATGGAAGGAGCAAATCAGAGAGAATCGGACATCAGCTGGGAGACAGGGCTCAACTTGAAGTTATTACTACTGTTATTGTCATTCTGGTAATTTCTGAGTATGATTATTATGCCTATGTTTCTGAGCTTTCTGCGTTTAGGATCCGTATAGAGGCTCTGCTTAGCCCGAGAGCACCTCATGGCTTCCAGGAGCGGGGCGTGGGCGACGCCAAGCTTCTGAAGCACCAGGTCGGCCTCCTTGGCCTTCCACCGGGGGGGTGGGGGAGGGTTTAGGGTTTAGGGTTGGGGGTTTGGGGTGGGGGGGGGAGGGTTTGGGTAATGTTGATAAGACTTTTCGGAATAATCACATCAATCACAAGAAAAGCAATTAGCAATAATGACAATGAAAAGAAGAAGGTTAATGTGACTGAGAATTGACAATAAGACTATCGATGATAGTAAGACTCAACGTGCATGTGTTGTCTGGATTGCATCTTCGAGGCATTACTGCTGGGCGCTGGGAAGTCGTTTGATGTTCAGCACGCGTTGCACGTAAGTGCGATGATGAGTCCCAGCTCCCAGCTTTCTAGGTGAACGGCAAGATCCGCTTCCTCATGAGGCAAGAGAGGACTGGGAAGGCGGGGTTCCGATTCGCCTCCGCGACTTGAGTTGTCATGAAGGTATTTTGGGGGCTCGGGTTTAGGGTTTAAGGTTTAGGACCTTAGGGCTTGAGGCTTTAGGGTTTAGCCTAGCATCTGTAAAAAGCCAATTCGGATTCTTAGCGGTCAGTTTGGCCTGATGCTTCCGCTGAAACATGCCCGCAAGTCCGGAAAACTCCAGAGCCACCACCTCGGGATCCCCAGCACACACACAGACACATTTTGCTAGTAATAGTAATAGTAGTAATAATAACAATAGTAATAGTAAGAGTAGTAGTAATAGAAATAGTGATAGTAATGGTATGTGTAATGGTAATAGTAATAGTGATAGTAATAGACACACACACACGACCTTTTGGATGGAGGGCACAGTTTCAGAAATCTACATGCAGGAGAAAGCCATGTCTACAGAAAGGACACAAGCGAAACAGTTGCCGGCGCAGTTGGCCCTGCAGTTCGAAAGATATTGCACCGGCTGAATCATGTTGTCTGCACATGAGTAGCAACCAATCAGATCGTGTCGTCAAGTTCAGCCTTTGAAAAAAAGGGAGGGAGGCAGAGAGCTGCCTAGGAACCTTCAGTATCTAGGGGCAGTTCATGAAAGGTGAAGCGTCTTACGCCAGACCAGTGGTTACCCGAACCATGAGCCCAGAGGTGGTCGCCAACCACTTTCTGGTTGATGCTCCGTCGCTTGCTCAGACGTTGTCGAAAGCAGGGGGTACTTCGGCCTCGAACTGAGAGAGTGGAACGTAAACCCTAAACCCTAAACCCTAGGCCGTACTGTCAACTCGCCAAGAATGCCGGCAATGAGACAACCTGGGTCTGGTGTGCCATGGTGCCTCGGATTCAATGCACCAGAGCTTCTTGTACCTTTCGGCGCAAAGCTGTAAGTTCCCGCCTTATCCAATGCCTTCCCCAGGACTATTCTGAAGACAGTGCTCAGATGGAGCAGTTTGCCCTCAGATTTCGAGATGCAGAGCTGGCAGAGAAGTTCGCGGAGGCCTGGCTTGGCGGCTCAGTGCCCCTGCCACTCTGCAGCCTACCCCTAAACCCTACCTAGACCCCAAAGAACCTACCTTTTTGAGGACTTATATAAGGAAATCATCATAAGGAGCCCTAAAAAAGGGGGAGGCTCTTTGGGGTCCAGGTAAACCCTAACCCCAAAACACCAGGCCTTCAACGATGCCAAGAGGCAGAACTCCGGACCCCAGGGCCAGGACCAGGCAAGAGCTTGCCTATAGTCTCCGTTGTAGTTCCTTTTTTGGGGTTACCTTTTAGGATCCTTAGTACAAAACTGGTTAAACCACAAGAAGGAACTACAATGGAGACTACAGGTAGTCCTCCGTGACTCGTGACTCTGCGAAAAGCGCCCCCCCATGCGTCTGTAAGTGGCAGGAGCCCCCGCCGGCACAGAGCTGAGCTGCAAGCGATGCAAAAGACCGCCAGGAGATCCATAAGTTTTGGGGTTACCTGTAGTCTCCATTGTAGCTCCTTGTTTTGGTTTAACCAGTTTTGTACCAAGGATCCTAAAAGGTAACCCCAAAAAGGAACTCCAATGGAGACTATAGGTAGGGTTATAGGGCTTAAGGTAATTTTTGCTTTACCCTAAACCCTAAACCCTTCAGGGTGCGTGTGCGGACATGCGACCGCCTACGTTTGCTCCGGGGAAGTCCTCGGGTCCGTTGAAGTTCCCGGCTCCAGCCTGCTAGAAAGCTAGGGTTTAGAGGGTTTATAGGGTTTATAGGGTTTTAATAGGGTTTATAGGGTTTATAGGGTTTATAGGGCTTATGGGGTTTATAGGGTTTATGGTTTAGGATGCAAGCTTTAAGGAGCGATGCGGCACCATAGCAACAGTACAGTGCAGGTGCACGGCAGGGAGGCTAACATGTTGATTCGTTCACACAGGGAGGCCACTCCGAGGTCGATATATCTAGTAAGCCACTCCTTGTGCCGACTTGTATATCCCAATGAAGAGTAGCAGCAGAGCCATGTGCTGCCTCGCACGCCCTGGGTGAGAGGTCGCAACCCGAGATATGGTCGAGCGGCTTGTGCACAAGCTTCGATGGTGATTGCTGCTTGTAACGGCCTATAGAGCAACTGCTTAAGTCCTAAACACACTCAAACCCTAAAGCTTTAGAGTTTTTTGCGATAACCATAAGAAAGATAGTCAGGTTTTGCACTGCAGGCATGGGCCGCTTGGACATCCGGGACTTGCAGGACTGGCTTGTCGGGTCCCTGTTGCATCGGAGCTACAGTGAGCTGTTTAGGGTTTAGGGTTTACCTGGACCCTAAAGAACCTCCCCTTCTTCAGAGATCCTTATTATCATTTCCTTGTATAAGTCCTGAAAAGGTTAGGTTCTTTTGGGGTTTGGTGTTTAGGGTTTAGGGCAGTGAGCTGAGCGTGGACCCTCTGAGGCCGGTGTTCACGGCGCGGCTTCCCATCCAACATCTTTCAAGCAGGCAGCCTCAACGGTTCAGGGTTTAGGGGCTCAGAGTTTAGGGTTTAAGGTTTAGGGTTTAGGGGGGTTTAGGGAACCCTAAACCCTGAAAACCCTGAACCCCTAGACCGAAGGTAGAGACGTATCAAGAGATGTAAACCTCCTGGCCAGGGAGATGTCGGGATCCACCTCCACGTCTTCCTTGCATGTTTGTCGGGTCTGGTGCAAGATGCAGCGATGGTCATTGCCAATACTTGTTTTGACGTGTTTTCCTGTAGTGCCTGCTCAGGGGATGTGAAAGTATTGCGCTGTGAGAAACCGTTTCCCTGGCTTTCACTCATTGAGCCTACCAGCCCATCGGACGTCTACGACGTGGCAGATCGAGTACGATCCGGAGAAGGAACAAGTAATCGATGCAAAGACGTGCCATCCTCAGAATCTGCCGGCGGCTGCTGGCAAGCAGTAGGGGGTGACACTTCCGTGGTGTTGCCTCATCCGACAGCACCTCGAGGTATGAGGTGCCGCCAGCTAAAGCAGATGACTCTGCTCCTCCAAGCTCAGAGGTTTGCATGCACGAAGTGGGGACGTGCTCTTTGTACTGGTCTTGCTGTTCGTCGCAGGTCTTGCAAACGATTGAAGACAAGGCGAAGGAGGCCGTGCAGACATCGCTGGCCGAACGAGTAGTAGGCAGCCTCCCATCAGCAGGTCCTGGAAGAGAATATAGTATGCCGTCAAAAGATTTCCAAGGCGGGTGAGCTTCAGACGCCTAAATACTGCCAGTGCATGCAGCTTCTAGCAATCTGTGAGACGTCAATGGTATTCCTGCGCACAGCAGGCTATCCTTGGGAAACCCTAAACCCTAAACAGTACCGTCTGAGACAGGTTATCCACGCGCTGCGAAATGCACCCAAGCTGCCCCAGGATGGCTTCACTCCGAATGTCTTGGGTGTACCCATAGGCTCCTTAGTAGTTCCTTTTTGGGATGACCTTATAGGATTCTAAATATGAACCATAAAAAGGAACTACTTAGGAGCCTATGGGTAGGGAAGCACTCCTGCAGCACCGAGCGGGAGTTTTGCAACGCAGGATCTCTTCGGCCCGCAGCAAGCAGGCCAGCGTCTCACTGTGCTGCGAGTCCCCCACAGCTCCTGAAGGTATTTTCTCAACTCTCTCTCTAGGCGAATTCCTAAACCCCTGCAACCCTAGCTAAACCCTTTAGACCCCCCTAAACCCTAGACCCCTAAACCCTAAAAACAACCCCCTGGCCCTGCGATCCGACTCAGCCCCTAACCCTGTCAAGGCATGACCTCTGTCGCATGGCTCTCCACCCTGCCGACCTGCTTGGGGCCAAGCTGGTAGCTACCCATAGGCCCCGAAGTAGTTCCTTGTTATGGCTTATTTTTAGAATCCTGTAAGGTATAATCCCCAAAAAGAACTACTTAGGGGCCTATGGGTAAGAATGGGAAACCCTAAGCCCAAGACCCAAAACCCTTATCTAAGGCTTCAGGCTTTTCGAGGGATTCGTGTTCGCGCTTCGTCCCATGTTGGGGGGGGTTTTGAGGGCTTTATTTTGGGCCTTGAAGAGGGTTTCCTAAAATTCAGCTAGCGCTTGTGGTCCCTTACTATTAGGGTTGAGGTGTCCTTAGTCTAGGGTTTGTTGTTTTTAATAGGGTTTAGGGAACTCAGGGAGTCTCGGGTTGAGGGTTTCGGGTTCTTTCTATGGAGGAGTGTCCCTTTTTTTAGGATCCTATGTTAAAAATGCGGTTTAGTTGTCCGAAAACTTGACGATCCTCTTCTTCTTGCTATGAATGAGTTGTTCTATATGCGGTTTAGGGTTTGGGGTCCCCAATTTTCGGGAACACCTTCCATTGGGATGGTCATGGACAGATTGCCGGGCGCCTGGGTCCTTGGGGTTTCGTGTTGGGGTTTGGGGGTTCATAGCGGTTTAAGATTTAGGGTTCGGGAATGCATTGCATGGCGCTTACATGCCGTAGGCAGGAAGAGAACTCAACGTTAACCCTATAAGTTCTAAACCCTAAACCCTAAACCCTATAAGTTCTAAACCCTAAACCCACTGAGAAACTCCTGATTTCTCGAGGTCGGAGAGGCAGAACACCGCAGAAGGCGCGCCGTTTCAGAGATCCGACAACCCGACATCCACCACCCTATGCACGCGAAACCCCATACCCTAGACCCTAAACTCTAAACAAACTCCTAGATGGCCGAAGCCCTGAACCCTTAACCTTCAACCGTCTGTATAAAGCCTATGCCCTAAACCTTTTGCTTTGATCCTGATCAGATGGCGACGGCCCGCGGCTTCCTTTGAGCCGCGACATCTCCAGCAAAAAGGACATGTCGGGTGCGCGTGCATGGGGAGCAGCTGCTTCTGTATAGTATATCTAGTATAAGTCTAGTCTAGTACAGTTTAGTACCTATATATATATATATAT